CATTTGCTTGCCATAAACGTTAATTTGATTGCCACAGATCAGATAATCCCTCTAGTAGCTGATCAGAAACTGCAGAGGGGTATTGCATGTTTTTGAGGTGTTCTCTTTCACCTTTTGCTATGTTTTCCTTTAGGAAGTCTTGCCTTAAAGTATGTTGGAAATAGTGCTTCAGATATTTAGGTGGTTATCCGTCCAAACACTAACCTGTCAATAGATTTACTCAGGATACCTGAAGCTGTGTTTATCTTACACCGTTTTTGCTGGTATGTGATGAAGATTTCTCTGTCCAGTGAAGCTGCTGTGTTGTGAGCTAGATTGTGTGTCTACCACGTCAGCTATTTCTCACTAATCCCCTCCTTGTTCTCAGGGCCACTGGTCTTTTCCCATGAGGACTTTGTGTGACTTAATTAGTGTGCTGTAAAGTCACGCACCAGTTTTTCTGAAGAGTCTTAGCATGGCTTAGTCTTACTGTGCCATGCAAAGAAAAGATCTTATGAAAATCCCTTATCAACACTACAATTGAAGGGCAGCCTGTGAGTCCCAAGTTGAGTATGCCTTGCATGTCTGCGCTTTGGAAGGCTCGAAGTGTGGGTAAGTGCTGCTTGCACACCTGACCTTATTCCACTGTCCAGTTGTAAAAAACAGCTGTAATAGTTTGAGAGTAGTTGCCTTTCAGACTGCTTCCACTTTCTGCTTCTCTTCTGTGTTATCCAGGGGTTCCTTGCACCCCCTTTTCTTGCTTTTGACATCTTAATTGTATTAGGACTCCATCTAACTGAAACTGAGCTCAGTGTTCACTTGCAAGTGACATCTGCTACAGGACTTTGAACCTTGCTAGGCCACTCGTGTGTCTTAATTTGTGGGACGTAGATCCTTCAGTTTCAGGCTAGACCAAGGCAAAATCCTAGAGAGAAAATTATTGCATTAAATGCGAATTTTTTTTTTTTTTTTAACAAGGTTGACATCTGTCATTGCAGAAAGCAAATATAATTGCACTTTTGGGAAGAGAACTACCATGTTAGTTTAATAGCATCCTCTGTCTTCGTGTTGCTGGATGGTTTAAATCTGGACAAGAGTTCACTTCCCATTTGACAGATGTAGAATAAAAGCAGAGTGTGCTAATTTTTTGGTTGCCACTATTTTCTAATCTAAATACACATCTGGAGTCGTCTGTGCATTTCTGACAATGTCTGGTACCAGAGCCACACCTTGCTGTTCAATCAAGAAGGATATTTCCTTTGGTTTCTTTTCTTCAGTCCTTGGAAGACGGATAAGCTGCCCCCTGTTTCCCGGAGGCAGATTCTACAGATTCTGTTGTTTGAAGGAGCTGTGCTTAACATGTCGTTTCCTCAGTACCACTAAGAAAACTCTGAGCAAATACGTTTATTTTTTTGAAATAAAATATGCGGAATGTTCTTTTGTTTTCAATAGATGCATCTTTTTGAGTGGGAACTGGGCATTCTTTAGGAAAGGTTGATGAGAGCGGGTGAAAAAACATGATGTATTTGAGCCATCTTTGTAGCATGCTCACATAAACTGGGTGGATTTCAATGAGGAATGCTCTTACCTGATTTCAGCTTTTTTCTCCCTCTTATTTTGTAGGGGTCTTGGACAGGTTATAACTGACTACGTCCATGGAGAGGTACCCATTAAACTGGCCAATACAGGTCTGTACGTACTGTCAGCCGTTACCTTCGCTGGCCTCTGCTACTTTAACTATTATGATGTTGGTATCTGCAAGGCTGTTGCCATGCTGTGGAGCCTCTAAGATGCGACCAAATCTCTGACAAACACGATTGTTCACTGCTGCCTCTGCTTCATCGTATTTTTACCAACATGTTTAATGCAAAACAAATTAATAACCAAGGGTCCATAGTAGGCACATACTGCAGCAAGTTCAGAGCTAGTCTTTCAGAAATAAATATCCAACAGCAGTAAAAATGTTACAAAAGAAAAAGTAGATTTTAAGTGGATAATGTCCAGGTGAGAGTGACTTGACTTAAGCTGCACTGTAAATTGGGAGGAATTAATTACATCAGTGACAGAATTACATAGCTGAAGGTAATTTTCCTTGTAATGGCAGCTTTAAGAGTCTTTTTCTAAAATAACTGTTGTTTGTTTTCCTATTTTGTAAAACAAACTTGACTTGCAGAAAACTGAAGTGTTATTTCTGACATTGCAACAACTGAACTGTATGTAAGGCACACCCTGTAACTATTTGGACCCTGAGCGTTGATGTAGAAAAGGGAATACTTTTTTTCTTAATCCATACAATAAAGAATTTGCAGAAAGTGTGTGTGTGTGCTTCTGAATGATTTTTACTACTTTTGGGTTACTTAAAATGTTTTCTCTGCAGATAGGTGTTTGGGTTTTTTCTAAAATCAAAACACTAATTCATACTGTTACGTTACTGTTCATACTGTTACTCCGCATTGCTTCATTTAGATGTTATAAAACATCAAATATTTTTATGAGTATGTATTGTCCATAATACTTACAGAGGTGACTTAGACTTAATACAAGAATAATGTCCATTAGAAAATACAGCAATAATTGACTTTGAAAAAGACTTTTGCAGATTAATTAATAATTGCAGATTATGACTCCAATTATTTAGGAGTCATAAATAGCATATGGCTTTTATAGTTTCCCTAGAACCTCTGTGTTCATCTGCAGCATTTTGGGGGGGGGGGGGAGTTTTTAAATAAACACTGGTACACATTTTCCTGTGTGACTGAAAAGACAACAAACATACCCTTTCTATTATAGCTTGACATGAGGCTGAGGCAGTGTGCTTTTCTATGTCTTTAGGTTTTAGAGCATTTTGGAGGGAAATGAGATTCTGTTTTTTAACTTTATTCTCTGCTTTATCTTTTCTGACTTTGATAGTAGTAAGGAGTAGTTAACTGTTTCCACCTTCTAATGGTACTTCTGTGGTACTATTACTAGTAAGAGGAAGAGAATTGCGTGTTCCCATCAGTCTGATTATGCAATAAACAGAATGAATAAGTTGCTGTTTGAATTCTACAAGATTTTCTGATTTGATGTCATATTTTTAAAATCTGGATAGGAATATTTATTTATGTATTTACTTCTTTATTTACGTAACCATGGGAAATACCGTGTAGCTGGTTGCTTTTGTTTTGCTGCTTTTGTGGTCAGAACAGAGATGGTTGCTTCTGTCTGATGTGGTCTGATTTAGATATCAATCTAACGTTTGTTATTTTGTCATAGTGAGGAAGATTCATACGTATTGCTAAGTACCTCTGCACAATCTAAGCATGTATCGTAGAAAGTGTTTGATATTTCCTATTTTGAGACCAAACACAAGATGCATCTCTATGTGGTATTTGTTTAAGATACCTTGTGTGAGAAATGAGTTACGTAAGAGCTCTGAGAATGTGTTAGTCCAGACCTACAATGTTAGGGTCTAGCAACTCTGAGACCAGTTCATTGTGGTTTTGAGGCAAGAATTAAAAGGTAATCACCACAGCTTACTCTATGAATGGCATGTATTCCTCAGTCCTGTTGAATCAGTTCGCTGTAATTACCATTAACTTTTGTTCTTAATTAATTGCGATGGCTGTGACCATTTGGTCTAATCCCATTTTTGAACATTTGTCAGGCATATAAAACTGGGACTTAGTCCTACTGGGTATCCAGATGTGTTAAATACATTCCTGAGTTTAGGCCCCTCCAAGTAAATTCTCCCTAAGCGATAGTGCACTCAGTGGTGGCTGTACTGCCATTGTAAATAATTGGTTTTTTACTGCCTCCAGGTGCTCCTGTAGCAGCTAGATTCAGTAGGTGAAATGGCAGGGGCAGCATAACATGAAAAGCTGAGACAGTCAGAGTTATCATAGCAGTTTCGTGTCTTCTCCATGCTTTTTTTAAAGCCCCTGAAATTATAGGTTTGGTTTTTACCAAAACAAGTCTTGAGACTTGTCTTATCTCTTCTGCAAATCTGAGGATTTTCCTCCATTTCATGACAGATAGAGGCCTTCCTGCTTTCTCTGATCACTTTTGCCTATATGGGGTATGACAATTGTACCAGCTATTCTGCAGGGCAAGTTGAAGACCCAGGACCCCAACTGCAGTCAATGCTTAGGTTATCACTACCTGGAATTGCAACAGGAGAGGAAGACCAGCGCTTATATTATGTGTCAAAGAAAAGAATAATATATGCTGTACCAATTACCTCAAGATTAAATATTCAAAATGCATTACACGAATTTTGGTTTTGGTGAAATCCAGTGCTTGCTGAGCTCCAAACGTGAAATGGAGTTCACACATTGTCACATACACGGGATAATACAAGGTCGTTATGGGAGCCAGCCATATCTACATTTGTTCCAAATTGTTAGAAGGATAAATGTCTGTTTCATTTCATCACTAATCTACAATTTACTGTTAACTTTTAAGTGCCTTTACATAAAAGCATAATTCTTTTTCCTTGGGCCCTTTGAGGACAAACAGCTTGCTTAGAACTTTAATTGTTCAGGTAAGTTAGCATTTTTCGAAGCAATGATTTCCAGTAAGTTAAAAATTGTGTATTGTTTCTACTGCAGGTGAAGGTGAGATGTCACTGTGTAACTGAGATTGATGAAGAAATCCAGGAAATAATCTTGATGCAAAAAAGTAATCTCAGAGTGTTTATTGGCCAGGTGTGTGGTCTGCTTATGAAATACGTTAGTTTAAGCAGTTTTCTTTCCATCCCCAAAATAGGTCTGCTTTGTCTATGAGATAACTAATTCAAAAGCTTGATTTGATCAACAGGTGGTAAAGATTTTGGGGATCAAACTATACAGGACTCTAGGCATGCACGTACTTGTTTCTTCATTGTATAATTCTCTTTCTTTATATCTGACTGGAAAACATTCTTCTGCTGCTTTTTGCCAAAAATGTTAATTTATTTTCCTTTGTAAGGTGTTCATTTCTGTACTGACTTATGGTAGCTAAAAACATAAAACTGGCTTGCCTCAGATGAAGAAAGACTAAAATTTCTTTTACAAAAAGCCAAAATACATTTTAAGACTGTTGAAGTATGTCACAGGTTGTGACTCTCGTTCTGACTTAAGTTAGAAGCTTATCTTCATGGTTTCATCCACTTCATCTTCTCTTGAGAGTTTCTTTAGAGTTAATTTTCTTAAGCAGCCGCCTTCTTCAAAGGCCAAAAACATTCCTTGTTCTAATGAGTATTCAAACTTAAATGCTCTGGAGCTACAAGATGTAAATGTCCTTTTGAAAAAGATTATGTTACTTTCACCAGGAATGTCTTTGGGAACTTCTCCTTCCTAAGGAAGAAAAAGGGGATGGGTTAGTCCCAGCACAAGACCTGAGGAGTTTTGTTTCAGCTCTCACATGTTTGAATTCTTAATTTTGCCTACTACTTATGTATATATAAGGTATGGAAAGCAGATACTTACCCTAAATCGAACTATCATTTTTCCATATTCTTTCTCGCAACACATGTAATAACTTTTATCTTCTACCTGGACACTGAATGCAACAGGCATCCCTGCTGAAGGTGTGGTGGTTTTGTAATAGTGAATGTTGAAGTGCATTCCATTGCCTAAATATAAATTGTTTATGAGTAGTAGTCTGCTCAGGAGAGAGCTGCAACAACTTAACCATATTATGTCTTACCATTCCACTGGTAACTGCTGTCTTCCCAGGATACTTTTCCTGACAGGACAGCCAGGACTTGAATTTTTATGACTGCTGGTAGCACATATTTGACTTTCTGCAATCATTCAATAACCAAGATTTTGAATTTGCAAGAAAGCATGGGAAAGTTACCAGTTCATATGTGTAGAATGTTCAAATCCTTTTATGTGCATGCATAAAGTGAGAATTGGATTTGTAAACAGTCACCTGTAAATCATATATCTGTATATATATGTGATTGTAAATAAATATGTTCAACAAACATAGTTCTGAATGAATTGCTGAGGCCCCCCCAAAAAACCCAAAGCCAAAACCGTAAGTACATTGTTAACTACTACTGTTAGAAGAAAGTAATAGCTTTTAGTGTTAAGTACATTGTCTGTTTAAACGTAAAAATGGCTTTTTGTAATCCACCGCATTAAAAAAAAAAAAAAATGAAGATCTTCTAGTTTGTGATCAGAGGTAACCAAAAAATGTGAGTAGCCCTTTTCTGCATGGGACATCCTGCAGGCCTCTGTCTAATCCAGGAATCTAATCTATTAGTAATACACAAGACACACAATTTCAGCTCGCTTAGCTTAGCCTTATCGTTACAAATGAAGTTTAAGTCTTTACTCTCATAATTTAGAGTCAGTGACTACAAAGAACAAAAGCACATCTAGAATAAAGAAACAGTGCAATGGTTATAGTATATGTGTGTGGAAAATGGTGTACCAGATTTCATCTCCTGATCTGTGACATCTTCAAAAGCTGCCATGTTTAAATCTGGTCGAACCACAAGCAACTGGCTATTTACATTTCGAAGGACCCTGTGGAGAATTTTTTCCTTACAAAAGGCGTCACATTCCAGCCCTGTAGAAATATTAAGCAAAGATGGTCAAGTATTTTAGCTGTAATCTTAACCGTTTGCTACATGCTTAATCTTGTCCTTAAGGATACAAGGTGAAATTAGAATGGCAATCTCAAACAAAATGGAGGCCTTGTCATTCTTTCCACCTCTGGCTTGTAGCACTCCAGGCAAGACAAGCATTTTCCTGGAATACAGCAGTCTGTATATATAAGCAAGAGAAGCTACTGTATCTATTAATGCGAGTTCAGAAGCAACAGTTCTTTCTTTTGCCCAACAATTAGAATTGCATTAAAAGAAGGTCCTTCTGTTAGGGAAGCCACTACCCTGTACCTTAGGAGGAAATAAAGCATTATCAACTTCAGAAGGAGAAGGTGAGCTGTAGCATGGTCTTTTTTTTTTTTTTTTTTTTTTAACTATCATTTTGAAAACTTGTTCTCTAAGGCACACAAAGCATTTGTGGGTTAGTAAGCAAGAGCAGGTTAGTTCAGGCAAAATTGATAATGAAGTTATGAGCTTTCAGCTTACCATCATCATCTTGGTTCCAAGTGAGCAATAACAAAAAGGAAGGAAAAAACACTACATTACGCTCTGCTCCCACAAAAGAAACCACTTTCTACCCAGTTTTGTTCTGCAAGATTGGAAGCCAGCCAGCCACCTACGCATTTCCAGTTGTACTCCCCAGTATTACTAACTCACCAAGCTGAACTGTTCTAACTACAGGGTGTATTTTGTGAGCATAACAAATTCAACAGAGTGATGAAACCACCAGTCATCTGAGAACTGGAGTTACCACCAAACCAAGAGGCATGCAAAATGTTTTAGGGTTACTTAAGGGTGAGTAGTTCAGGTCAGTTTAAGCCTATAACCAAGGAATAAATGGCATGCAATTTTTTGTTTACATCAGCACCTTTATTCTAAATGAGCAAAAGGATGAGAAACAGTCATTACAAGTTGCTTCTAAAGAGGAGGCTGTTTTCTGTATCTTCTAAGATTCGTTACCCACTTATGCCAGGTCTACCCCATAGCATTACAAGGCTGCTGAATGTCCTTTATGGGAGTGTCCACTGACTCAGATACTTGGCTAACAATACTCCAAACTGAAGCTTATGGTGAAATTGGTTGAAATCAGACTGATAAAGGAATTGTTTTTAATCAGTATTCAAACAGAGAAAGTTACTAAGTGCTTAAGGTGTTCAGCAATACTGTGGTACTGACCTGTTAACACACTGGGACATCTGTCTCAAACTCAGATTCTTTTTGCAGTGGACAGCCTGGCTCCATAGTCTAAGAACTGTCATTCTTCTAAGTGGGTGGGGACTGTAACTGCTTTGAGAATTACTCAGGTAGCATGGGGGGAAAAAAAACAGGATTCCACAAAACCAGAGGTGCCAGCCCAAGGAAAGGATTGAATTGTGTATCAGCTTTTGATCTTCTATACAGGAAGAAGACACAGTGTGTCTCTTTCAGCAGTGGGTAGTAATTACCTGCAAAATAGAGGCAGTAATTTTCTCCAAGTTGTACTGCACACACAAGAATCTCTTCACCACTCATCTTCACTCTGCCAAAAACACATGGAGAGGATTCAGAGTTAAGAACAATGCTTCTTACTCTGTAAAGCAAGGGAGTTCTTGGGCTAGTTCTCTTCTAGTATGCAATACTGTAATAGGGCTGGCATGTTTCACTACCTGTTGAAATATTACTTTTTTTAAATAATTGGTCTCCTCCTCTGTTGCTTTTTATAATTAGTTAGAATAACATAGTAACACCCTTCAAGTTCTGTTATTTTACAAAACTTTTCATTGACTTACACAATGTTATATGGGAATAAATAATAATTCATTACCATTTTCTCTTTCTGTGAGAATGCTAATAAGTAGCTCCATGAACATACTTCATCAAATTAGTTCTTGTGGGCCTGCAAAAATTATTTTACTATCACATGGTTATTTGATCTTCTATTTCTAATTTTCAAACAAGGAAGCGACTAAGACTAGATTAAGCACCTTGCTACTGGCCATCAAGCCATAGAATCTATACTAAGTCTACATAGACTTATCTTTCCAGGTTCCCTCTATAAAAGACAGAGCTTCTAAAATACCCAAAACTTAGTTCACCTTTGAGTGCCCGTTGGAAAGGTCTGTATCTTTTGCATCTTGAGCTGGAATTGTGTAGGTTCCTAGAGAAGTTGGGATGTAGTTTATTTTGCAGTAGCAACGATTTGCTTACAGTGTTTTAACTTTATTTTAACTCAGGTTGAATTCTGAGCTTGATTTCACAGCTATTCTCTTTCAAGAGTGACACAGAGAAAAAAGTGAAGAAAAGATGTATTTCCCTTGGGACTAACAAAAGTCATGTTACAGAAAACCCCCAACCCTGAACTAATCATTAAAGACCAGCCAGCTTCTGCACCTGAGAAGTTCCAGACCCTGTTCTAAACACTTCAGGGTTAATTTAGAACTATCCCAGGGCTGCACTCTGCCTCTAATGTCAATACACAACACCCTCCAAGAACTCCAGAAGAATAATTGGTTTTAGCTTTGTTCATATTCTCAACCTTATACAGGTAACAGCCAGACAGATAAACTTTTTATTCTTTAGCTTTCTGAGACAGTGACTGAGAGTATGTTACACTCTCAGTTCAATAGACAAATCAACATATATGTTTAACGTATAAAACAAAAGAACAGTGACAGTCACAAATTTGCTATGCCCATTCCATTTACCTATAAGTGCACCCATCCCTTCTATTGTAAAGTTTCTGTTTATGCCAGCAGAAAAGAGATACATCTGAATGGATTGTATTGCTTTGCAGGCACAAATGTCTACATATCCTCAGTCCTAGCAATGCCCAGGGGAAAAAAATTACAAAATAAAACAAAAGTTATGTGGAGTCACCTGTATTGACTCGAACTTGAACTGTAAAGTGTAGTATTTCCATAATTTGACTGCTATGGGATGGTTGATACTGGAAGGAATAATTATAAGAAATAGGCACTAAAATATTTTTACTTTAAAACTGATGATATCATATTCAAAATTAAAATAGCATCTCCTACCTTTGGAGAAAACTGAGAATAAGAATAAAGGGAATTATAATACAACAGAGGAAGACGTGGCAAAGAATTTAATTCTTTCTCTTCTTTGGCAGTAAACAGTTTTAAAATGTCCTATTCTCTGCCATAGATTTGTGAAATGCAGGTTGTTTCTTTCCTTCCTGTTTCATTTGTGTCTGTATCTTAGTAAAATTTTTGTTCATATTCCTAAAATGCTTTCTGTGGATGAATGCTCTTACCCATTTTATCTACATTTTTAGAAATAAAGGTGTTTTAATTTCCAAAACTAACAACTAACTACTATCTGCAAGATCTGATTTACTTTGTGATTGGTGTAAAATTTTTGGCCAGACGCACAAAGTAACACACATACTGACATTCACCATCACTGTATCTGGCCTTTAGGAGCTCAGCACCTGTATGAAGTCTTCACCTGGAGCTATGTGCCTAGCCTCTGTATACAATACACTGGAGGAGACTGTCACAGCAGAATGCACAAAACCTTGTTGATCAGACAGTATCAGATAAACAAAGCCAACAACACTGATCATCAAAACACTGAAGTAACTTTTTATAAGTAGTCTAGAATGTGAAGTGCTTCATTCAAACCTACCAACTCCTGTCAAGGCATTCTTTCCCGTTGCACTATCCACAGAAATAATAAATGTAATAAATGTGTTAAAGCTAGGTAAACAGTGGGAAGAACAGGCTCTTCTTGCACAGGGATTTTCTTTTTCACCACTGGAAAAGATTTATTCTACAAAACAACTGAGCAATGCTAACTTAAGTAAATAAGCACACACATCAACCTTGGGGATTGGGGTGGGAGAATCACAGTGATTTCCTTGTCCCTCTAGTAAGGCACTCTGAGGAATGTATTTGAGGGTGATTTTTTCTCATCCTGTTTTTACATGGTCTGTAGCCCTAGCTGGTCTGTGTGGAAGAGACACCCAGGTTCATAGCAGAAGACTGCATCTGTTTCCAGACATGCACACCCAAGCCTTTGAAATGAAACACCACAACACCAAACAGTGCATGCCTCATATGGGGTGAAGTAAACCAAGAAGTCAAGGACTATTCTGTTATTCTAAAGCAGAGAGGAAGGCACAGGCAGGACTCCTTGATAAAGGCTTAAAGGAAAATGCAGCCCTTCGTTTAATGGGTAAAACATACAAACCGACTACACTTCTTGCCCTGATGCGCAGTAAAAGATGGTTAGGTCTTTCACCGAGCACCTTTGAAAGGAACGGTAGAAGCGAGAAAGTGTTTCGCTGACCGTTCGAGGCAGTGTGTAGTGAACCTGCCGGCGGAGAAACGGGGGCGCAGGGGAGGAGAAGCGCAGGGCCGCGCCCCGGCGGGTCGCACCCCGCTCGGCGCCCGTGCTGGAGCGG